TCTGCTTCCTCACTCCTCCCAGCGTTTAGAGAGTGGATTGGGAGACAGTCTTCAGACTGCCTGGTACTGCCTGGACTGTATTTTCCCTGCCTTCCCTGAACCTTTCTTGACCTAAGAAAAAAAGAAACAAAATATCCCCGTCTAGTGGTTGAAGGCAGAATAGCAGCTTCCCATTAGTTTCTATGGACGGAAAAGAGCAGATACAGATCAAATTGTTTTCAATGCATTCCTATGGGAAATGCAGATTTGACCTGCAAACTTTTTGACTTGAGAACCGCCTTCCAATACGGATTAATTTCTCAAGTCAAGACCCCACTGTAGAGAGCTACCAGAAAAAAATGTTTGATAGCTCTGAAAGGCTGCAGTTAGAAACACGATGAGGAGAGTGTTACAAAATTTAAGCTGCTCTTACTGTTCCGAGAAAGGGATGAAGAGTTTTAACTAGTGAAATAGTAGTTGAAGGGGGAAGATAAAAAGTAGCATTTGCCAATGTGAAGATATGTGTTCACTCACGTTTCAGCAGTGTTGTAGTTTGAATTGTTACACGGTTGTTGTTTACAGAACTGCTGTAATCTTCTGTGATTCCCACATTCCCAAACATGCCTTCTGCATTGTGTGAAATGGTGCTCTTTGAAACACTTTATTACATAAAGATATGTACTTATTTTAATCCCCTTAATTACTCTGAATTCTAACCACAGTCAGTTTTTTATGAAGAGAAACCAAGGCATTGGGGGTGGTGGTCATAAAGCTGTTCATGTATTCTTCAAGTCTTTTGGGTTAAATGGTTTTTCCAAAGAATTTGAATGTATTCATTTTTGCAGAGCTAAAGTCGTGCCCCGCTGGACAATTAACCTGCTCTACGATGAATCCGCTTTACGTTGACGTTTTTGCGATCGCTTTTGTGATCGCAAAATGATGTTTTAAATGGGGTTTTTTCACTGTGCAATGATCGGTTCCCTGCTTCAGGACCCGGGTTTCGCTTTATGACGATCAGCAAACAGCTCATCGCCGGGTTTCAAAATGGCCACCAGCTGAAGAAAATGGCCCCCTGCTGTTTTCTAGGACAGATTCCTCACTTTACAGGCACCGAAAATGGTTGCTGTTTGGAGGATCTTCGCTGGACGAGCAGGTATTCAGCCCATTGGAACGCACTGATCGGTTTTCAATGCGTTTCAATGGGGTTTTTTATTTCGTTTGACGACGTTTTCACTCTATAGTGATTTCGCTAGAATGAATTAGCATCGTTAAGCAAGGCACCACTGTACATGGTTTCTATGAATTCAGCAAGCATACATAAAGTAAAAACAAATTAGAGAAGTTGCTTGTGTACAAAATCTTTTGAAGCTAATTTCATTACTTTGTGGATACTTGAATGGATGATAGATATTCTTGTTATCAGTGTAATCTGTACTAAGATAATTATATACAATGAAGAAGAATAAATCAATGGCTGAAATCCTATTACTTAGCATAGTAAGTCATAACATAGTAGGCCCACTGATTAGGTGGAAATGTTGTGAGTCAACTCCTCCATAAATTCCATTGGTTCAAGGGGAGCTACTCTAATTGCAACTTACTTTGCTAAATTAAGTCACAACTAAAATAGGCCGATTTGAATCAAGTGCATTTAAAGATGATTTGACTCACCAAATCTCCATTGATTCAACGGGCCTACTCTATTGTGCAGCTTACTACGCTAAGCAAGAGGATTTCAGCCATTGTATTTTAATATTAAAGGTTCAAAAATGGGCTTTGACTTTGCTTGTCATCACAGTATTATCTGTGATACTACTTGCTCAGAGTTTTTGTTTCTACCAAATGTATGACATGTCTTAACAATATACTGTATATGCTTCTGAATACCGGACCTAACTTTCATACAACCCCATTACATCTAAACTGGACATGATCGATATTTTAAGATTCATGCAGCAGACCCACTGGTGCAAATCAGTGTGCTGGGAAGGGTAAATTAAGGAAGATACACAGAAGATTGTCAGATAAACAGGATTTTCAGATGTTAAATCTTGTTACATTCTCTTTAAGAAAACTGATTCACATCACTAAGAAATGAGGGAAAAAGTTGTGAAGTGTCACAAAAAACAAAATCACAGTTTTGCATAATTAATTATATTTCAGCAATGGCAAATTCACAGGGTTAATAGAGGAGAAACCACCCTTGTTCTGAAGGGCACCCATGACTACAATCCCTCTCTTCATCAAAGAAAACAACTGGGGTCATTTAAGGTGCTTTGGCTCACAGACATCCAATGTCCATGCTTGAAAGCAGAAACACCAAGTGCCTCTTGCTGTGAAATCTGCACCCTCTAGTGGTATCTGAACATCATAGTTTCAAAACATCCAGTGCACTGTATTTCTGCTCATATCAGTTGACTCATACTACTTTTACACACAGTTTAAAAAATTAAGACTCAATACCTGATTCAGGGCTTGTCCAAACTAGCACTTGTCCTGCTTTACACTCCAGATTTTGCATATATCACATCATTTTTGTCTCAACAACATTTTGATTATTATTTACACCAATTGCAACTTCTCTTTTTCTATGATGTTCTAGATTAGCCTGGCATATAGTTTTTTTTAAATAGTATGTTCCATATTATTTTGTACCAGTATTGAATGATGTGGTTAAACATACTGGTATCTTTGGACCTTTTACATCTTCAGTTCATAGTGCACAACATCCCCAGTAACATGGGGCTGGCAGTAACTCTCTTGCTTCTCATTAGCTTGAATACTCGTGCTCATTTTTAAAAATTTTGCAATGGCTGTTTCAGTGCTAAACTCGGTAAATTTAGTGCTGATGTTGCTTAGAGCTAAAACTTCTCCTGAGTTTAGCGCTAGCTTGGTAGAATGCAAAGAAAAAGTCACTTTAGCATGAAACTCATTGTTTGTTTATTGTTGTTGTTTTTGGTATGGGCTTGGCACCAACACAACACAAATAAATAGTGCCTTGATTGTTCTCAAAACTGTAGTTTTGATTGATTTTGGCATCAGGGCAGGAAAGGGATGGACAAAGAAGAGCTGCAAGAACAATGGAAGAAGATGAAACGAGCAGAAAACAGGGCAGATAAATTGGCAAAGGAGGAGGGTGAATGGGCATGGTGTGCTGAGAAAATGTTGCTGCTTACATCCTCTTTGTGGACCACATCACCAGAATAAAAGACCTCAGATGTGAATTTGCAGAGCAAACAGTAGCATTGTGAAGAAAAAGAAAAAGCAGTATTCAGAGGACAAAAATAATATGCTCCAAACCAACCTTCTGGACAAGCCCTCAGAATCCTCTGTGCATTCCCTGACCTTTGAATGGGATAGCAATTGAGCTGCAGGAGGACAACAGAGACCTGTCCTCCTCATGCAGGATGGTGCTAGCTATGACAGCACATATGCTTGTGTAATGCCACTGCAATGTATCTGCGGGATCAGAATAATCATGATGCTATGGAGCACCCTCTTGAGTATATCCTCCCATAAGTTGAAGACAGCAGGGGAGACAGTGTTCTGGGTACAGCCACCATCTGAAGGGAGGCTTCCGGACAAATGAAAAATGACTTCTTTTTTTAATTGCACCTGAATTGTACATCTCCTTCTCCCTATAGATAATCTACAAGGACACAGTGAAAGAAGGACCTCCATGGTTTAGTACACTCATTTGACTTGGCCTTCAGACAAGCATGAACTGATGCCGCTTCATTTTGGTTTCAGCTGCTGTTCTAAACAGCTGGTTTGAGAATAATCTGTTTTTAACAGAGTCATTTTAACCTTTTATGTTGTTTTAACTTTCTGTTGTAAATCTATATTGAATGGAAAGAAACCAACTTGATTGCCTGATGTGAGTGATTTCCCTATAAAGCCTCTGGCACAATCCTGTAAAGCACTATGCATGCGGAATATATTTTATCACACACAAATTTTCAGCCAATATTAGTTCTCAAAGCATCTTATGGGTCAATAAATGAGAAGAATACAAATATACAGCACTGAATGCAACATCAGTCCTACACGGGGTAGCATTTCATTGAGTCTAAGTAAAACTAATATTGGGTTTAGCCTACAAATAGCTAATTTTTCATTACCACCATCATCAACCAATAACACCACTGTTATTTCTGAAAGTCCTCTACTCAGAACTCAGAACTCTACCCTGAATTGTGGTAGTGATAGCAATTCTCAATAATTCCTGATTTTCCCAGGCCAAGATCCTTCCCAGCATGCTCAGTATAGTGAAAACAGCAGCATAGATTTATTTCTAACCTCTAATCAGAGAAGGGTCACAGATGCAGAAAGGCTGGTGTGGACCCTAAGGATGAGCACTCTGTATAGCAACATTTCATCACAGATTCTGCTTGCTAAACTCAGATACACTTCTGAGAGAACAAGAATACCAGCAAATCATGTCAACACAGGATGTGAGTCCTACAGTAATGACAATGCTCTTCTCTTTTGAAATTGGACATAGAGAAATATATTTTTGTTTGGCAGAAAAACAGCCTTAAATGGGGAATCTAAGAGTCCGCCATAAATATCATAATCAGGATTTGGAGACCTACTTTTAAAATTAAATAGCTATAAGCTATAGTTACAAGGTTCAAAGAAGTGATTAATCACTTTGATAATCACTGATAATGCACAATCGACTAGTCATTCCACCCCGGTTACAGATACAGAATTAAAACCATTACTTTTTTGATACCAAAACCTGAATGCCAAAGGCTGCCAACTGGTGTCACAAAGCACATACAACTACCCTAATGCAATATTAACAAAAACATACATAGGAAAGAATTAAAAAATATATATCTATAGCATTGATAAGAGAATGGGATAACAATATGCCTAACCTCCAAATAATTACGATCCTGCAAAATCTCTCAGCAAATGACAGGCTTGCCTCTGCCCATTTGCATAATGATGATGGCTAATACTGTATGTACAAGACATATACTCTTTGCTTTTCAGGACCAAGATAGACATACCTCTTCTGCAAAGCTGTCCTTTTTCTCTAACATTTCTCGTAATGTCTGGAGAATCTTTATGCAGAGTTTTTCTTCCTTCTCCATTAGCCTTTTTGTATGATTTATCAATCTTAAAGTTAAAAAGAATGAGATAAGGTATCATATACATTGAAAGTGCCATGGGATTCTTCATTCTGATAACTTTGTACTTATTTTCATCAACTAAAATCTTGTTTTCACAGCAACGTGTGAAAGGCTCATGACATCATCAACCACAGTGGTTTTTAAAAAATAAAAAAAATTCTGATCCCCATCTTCCAAAGGTACCCAGAGTCCCAAAGAATCCCCTTTGTTGTGGGGATCCTGTGGGGGTTGCAGGATTGGAGGACTCTTTAATTTCAAAAAATTAAAGTCATCCTGACAGTGTCAGTTTTGGGAATTTTAAAAAACTCCCTCTCTTTTCCAGTCCTCTGGCCACTGCTGAGTTTTCCAAACTTGCTGGCATATCGAGTGTAGCACCTTAACAGCGTCATCTTTTAAGATTTTAAATAGTTCAACTGGAATGCCATCACATCCACTGGCCTTGTTGTTAGTCATGCTTTCTAAGGCCCACTTGACTTTGCTCTCCAGCATGTCTAGCAAAAGGTCAGCAACCACACTATCTGGGTTATCCGGGGCGTCCAAATCTTTCTGGTATAATTCCTCTGTGTATTCTTGAAACTTCTTGATGTCTTCTGTTTCTGTTAGATCCCTACCATTTTTGTCCTTTATCCTGTCCATCTCCAATTTTCTTGAACAGATCTCTGGTTTTTCCCTTTCTATTATTTTCCTCTATTTCTTTGCACTGTTCATTTAAGAAGGCCCTCTTGTCTCTCCTTGTTATTCTTTGAAAGTCTGCATTCCATTTTCTGTAACTTTCCCTATCTCCCTTGCATTTTGTTTCCCTTCTCTTTTCTGCTATTTGTAAGGCCTCGTTGGACAACCACTTTGCTTTCTTGCATTTCCTTTTCTTTGGGATGGTTTTTGTTGCTGCCTCCTATACAATACATAGCTTCTGTCAATTACTCAGACGATTGAACGCCACTCCACCAGTGAATGGCACCATGTGGGAAACAACCAGACCCAAGACCCAAGCTAAACGCAAAAGCCATTTCACTAACAGTCAGAGACATTTTTAAAGAATTAAAACAACCTGCATTTGACACTTACTTGGACATGAAAGCTCCACATCTGATTCTAGCATCACTTCCCTCAGGAAAGAGAAGTTCAGGACTGTGCAATACATCAACCAACACTGAAAATTCAGCCTGCATCATAGGACTGAATTGCTGTTCCAAAGAGGCTACTACATCCTAAACCAAAACAAAAACAAAAACAAAAAAAGAGATTAGAACTGATTCTCTGAATAACACAGTCTTTTTTCCCCTCATTCACACAGCAAGATAAATGTTTCATCATATTTCCAGATGAAGTGATGAACTAGGTTGATGAGATGAAAATTAGGAAGACTGTTAACTTTGTCCAGCCACTCTATATACTGTACACTATACAGTAATACTATACAATGTTGCTTACTCTAATAATCTGTCTGTGCCAGAAGGGCTTGGATTGGGCCCAAAGATTCACTTTCTCTGACAGAAGGAATCTTCTTCTATAAGCATATTTTCATTGCTTTTAGTCAGAAGAAATGGCAAACTGGGAGGCAGGATAACAAAGCTAGTTCAAAATGAAATATCCCCACTTTTGAACAATTTTGAAACTGTGCCAAAACATCCGCACAGCAGATATATTGACAATAATTCAGTATTAAGAAATTGTTTCACATCACTAATTTCCTGGTTGCTATAGCAAATAATGCGATGAGCCCTCAAAAGATGCCTTCCACTGAGGGAAGAAACCTGTGCTGTCTCGTATATGCGAATAACCCAGGAGGTGGCCTGACCAGAGCACTTGAGTCCTAGTAACCTAGGCTGTTCATATTGTATCTCTGTGTTTCCTACCTCTGGGAAACGGCAGAAGACACTTATTTATAACCCAGTCAGTGAACTGTACACGTCAGAGCACACAGCCAGATTAGTGGTTTCTCTGTGTCTCCCTGCTTCATTTATATATATTTGTAAATGAAGCAGGGAGGCATATAGCAGGACTGAGATAAACACTGCTGAACCTACTCATATATAGCAGATGGCCATGGGTCCTTTCAATATATGTTATAAAAGAATAGTATACTACAAATTAAAAAATTCTGGAGCTTCTTCACATTCTACCAGATCAGAAATATAAACTAGGAGCCGGGACAAGGGGTGTCCAATTGGTGAAAGAGATTTAAGAATGTAGCCCAGATTATTTATCTCAGTAGGGGATAGCTTGTTCATAAGCATTGTGTCTTCGAACCCTTCTTGCAAGTTTTTTCTTACCAAGAACACAAAGTATGTATATGTGTGTGCTTTCTACCATACCTGTAGTTTCTCAATGATGTTCCTATAATCCCAGGCTGGCCCTCCAAGGGCTTCTTTAAAGCGAGGACCACTGCGAGCAGTCATTCTCCAGCCCATTGCAGCTCTCTGGACCATGTTAGTGTGACTCTTCATGAATAAAGTGTTGACTTGACTGTCCAAATCTACTGGTATTGCAATTCCGCGGTTCTTTGCTTTGAATGAGCACATTTTTTAAAACAACAATAGCAAATTAGAAATACAAATATAAATAATTCAAAACTAAGGGTGGGACAATTAGACAAAATATGTCACATGGAGGAGCTGTTGAAAATAGCAGCTTTGCATCAAATTTATGACAGAGGTTGCAGAAGACTAGATTTACATACAATGTGAACTTGGTAAAAAAATTTAAAGCAATAACTGGCCAGGATTCTCCACAGTTGTACAGTAAGTATCACGGTCTATCAAGCTATCTCTGTAATTAAAGTTGCTCAGCCTGCCTATCTGCTACAGGAGAAGACAGCATCACAAGATCAAAGAATGGATTCATCACTGGAGAATTATCATATTTGCAGAATCCCAATGAAGCTACACTTGAGATAGATATGGCTGGATGTCCCCTCACCTCCCCCCCCCATGAGCTTCAAAATGTCATAGCCTCAAAATGTTCCTTTTTGGATTATAAATCCCAGAACTCCTCAGACAGCATGATCACTGACTATGATACCTAGATGATTGTTGAAAGTGCTGAAAAGTAACTTTGTCAAACTCTGAGAGGTGAATGAAGAAGAGTACATGAGGAAAATATTAGGCACCCTTTCCTCTTCTCTGCTTTACATTGCCTCTTCCCAAAGTTGATTTGTATGGGATAAAGAAGCCCTTCATAAATGGAACATACTAATACTGAGGATATGATTGGACCCCAAAAGGCCATTGCAAATGATCCTAACCATGTTATCCCACTGAATATATAATGAAGATGAGCTACTCAGCATAGTGTGTTTTAACCCCCCAAAAAGGAATGTCTGAAATCCTTCAAACACTATTAGCTTTGAAGAATGACAAAAAACGCCTACACCTTCCATGCCACAAAACAGATTAATGCATTCTGGACTCTGCCTATTCCCATGACCATCATCTGAACTCTTCAGGGATGAATGCTTAGAGGAGATTCACATGACTGGCTTCAGTGATTATAAAGTACTAAGCTTATCATGAACATACTTCACACATCACTGATAGGCCCTGCTCACACATGAGTAAAAAAAGTCTGTGAGGGGACATGCAGCAAAGTGTCAAGTGACTAGACTAATATCAGATGGAAAACATAATAATGTCAAATTCCATTGTACCCCAGTGTGGAGAAAGAGCCTAGATTTTTTTAAAAAATTAAAACATTAATTGTGCAAGGAAAGAAAGAAAAAGTCACGGTTCTTTGTTTCAGAAATAGAGATGGGATATTCACTTTCAACCCTAAGTGCTCACTGAAAGGACAGATCCTGAAGCTGAGACTCATGAGATGGCCAATACTTTGGCCATCTCATGAGAAGAGAAGACTCCCTGGAAAATACCCTGATGTTGGCAAAGTGTGAAGGCAAGAGGAGAAGGGGACGACCAAGGATGAGATGGCTGGACAGTGTCATCGAAGCAACAAACATGAATTTGACCCAACTCCGGGAGGCAGTGGAAGACAGGAGGGCCTGGTGTGCTCTGGTCCATGGGATCACAACTTAATGGGGACATGACTTAATGACTAAACAACGGCAAGAGGAGAATGGGACAACAGAGGACGAGATGGTTGGACAGTGTCATCGAAGCAACAAACATGAATTTGACCCAACTCCGGGAGGCAGTGGAAGACAGGAGGGCCTGGTGTGCTCTAGTCCATGGGATCACAACTTAACGGGGACATAACTTAATGACTAAACAACAACAACATTCACATTTATCTCCCAGGGGAGACGAATATAAATATCACCACCATAGGTGGCCAGGCCGATTGGATCCTCTACTGAAAACTGGGCCGTCCACTTACTGCTTGTGGTGTGGCACACACAACCATCGTCATTCACACTGCACCAATCGTGGAAGTTGCCCAGCCGGGGTCTCAACACCTCCCTGCACGGCTTCCAACCCAGTGAGAAAGCAGGATGATGAGTCTCCCCACTTAGCTTCTGAGTGGTCAGCAGTGCAGTAGGGGAAGCCCAGTTGGGCTACTTCCATGATTGGCAAGGTGCGAACGATGACAGCCGCATACACCGCATTGCGAGTAGTAAGTAGATGGCCCAGTTCTGGGAGGAGGGTCAAACAGCCTGGTCACCTGTGGTGATGATATTCATATTTGTCTCTCATCTCTATTCAGAAATCAAGGGTCTATTCAGGTATAACATCTATAGGTAAAGAATGTTAACGACAGTATAGCATTGTATCTACATATATGAGGCAAAAGTATACTACCACATGGCAAATAAAAATATAAATAATTTTAAACTGGCATGTGGTACCTATGTTGTGTTATGATATCTCAATTCGCAAACCTTGGAATGTGACTAAATGGGGATTTGTCCTGCTAGTTCACTCCTTTTTTTCAGTGATCACATGACATAGGGGCCTTGGAAGATACTGAAAGGGAAAAGAAGGGGAATCTTTTTCTTTCCTTTTTTAAAATTCTTTCCTTTTAAAAGGAGGAAGGGCTAAATAGGGTCTCTAGAGGTACAGTGTGCTTGCTTGCTCTGAAACCATTTGATCCTTGCATGTGGATGCAAGGATAGTACCCAAATAACATACTGCACCTCTAAGTGACCCTGTTTAGTCCGACCAAGCCCAATCCTGGCTGAGATAATTTAGCCATCTAGTCACCCCCAAAGCCACCTCTGTTGCTCCAGAAGCTGCTAACCCATGTAGACAAAAGAAGCTTATAAACCTGAATAGTGAGAGGAGGACAAGTACAACTATGTATGTGGTACATCTGCCAATTTAAAACATAGCCTGGTCTCTGTCTGATGGTCTGAGAAAATCATGGTTTGGTGTGATATCCAAACTGCATCTAAGAACTATTCCCTTGGTGTAGTCAACAGAATTTGTCATTACACTTATTATTTTCTGATGATCCAACCAGATCTACATTATCACATTTTTTTGTAGAGGTACTCCCCACAAAATAGTGATATGCCCTACATGTTTAGTTTTATTTATTTTATCGATTCAATTTTTATACTGCACATGTAGTAAATTGCTACTCTTGGTGGTGTAGAACCACAATTAAAGCACAATTGATTTAAGACAATTATAACACACTAAATCTAGTTTTGTGATCGGTCATTAAAAGGTAATCATGGGCTTAATTTGCACATCTGTTTACTGAGATGTATATCTCTGAGGAAATCTTGTTCTTACACATAGAAACGATGGATTCTAATTCATGTCTAGTTTGACTCTTAAAGACAGCCAGTGTAGAGAGTGTGAGGAGATCAGGATTCAAAGATCCATCTAGATAAATCTATAATTAGTTCAGTCATAGTGTCAATCTTTCTTCACACACAAAACCATATATGTTTGTTTTCTAAATAACCTTGCCAGACACTTTTAGCCCAACATGCACCTTATTAAAACAGGGAAAACTCTCTTCCCCTATGAACTTCTTCAGAGGTTGATCAAAGTTAGAAATGGATGAATTAAATGAAAGTATTGGTTATCTTATGTAACTAACATATATAATGGGAGATGAGTGTGGTTTGAGGAAAAAAATAAGACCTAAACCTTCCATTTAGAGTAATTAATTCAAATATAATTCTGGTTGCACTTTCCTCTTAGTTGATTTAAATTAGAACAAATGATAGCAGTTAAAACCCCATCTGCAAGGTGGACAAACTGCTGTTTACTTATCCCACCCATTTTTGTAAACAACCTGTGATCGCCACCATCTCAAAGCCAAATACAGTGGTGCCTTGCAAGACGATGTTAATTCGTTCCACGAAAATCGCTGTTTTGCAAAAACATCATCTTGCGAAATGCGGTTCCCCATTGCAATGCATTGAAATCCATTTAATGCATTCCAATGGGAAAAATAGTCATCGTCTTGCAAAAATTGCCCATAGGGAAAACCGTTTTGCGAAGCGCAGACCAGCTGTCAAAATCGTCGTCTTGTGAAAAACAGTCAAAAAACCCCCAAACCGTATTGCGAAGCATGGACTGAAACATCGTCCAGCAAAATTCGCCCATAGGGAAAACCATTTTGCAAAGCGCTATAGTGATCGCAAAAACTCATTGTCTTGCGAATAAACTGTTTTGTGAGGTAATTGTCTAGCGAGGCACCACTGTACATACACTGTCTTGTCCCATGAAATTTTTTAACAGAAGAAAGGTACTTGTTTGCTTTTTGTTTTTAAACCTGGATACAAAAAAGAAAAAGGAGCTGAGAAGGGAGACTTTCAGAGAACTTCCTCGATTACCTTCTTCTTGCAAAGGACCCTGTTGCTGTGGAACAATATACTGTACTTTAAACAACTAATACATTTGCTAACAGCTGCAATAAGAATCAACATAACATAATGCCTTCAGTTATTTGTTCTCCTTCATCGTCAGTTATTTTTATTAGTTTTTGGCTACGTCTATTCATTCAGATCTGTTTCAAGATATCCATAATTGTAAACTAACAATTACGGTTATTTATTGTCCCCTCTGCTTCATTTTGTTCAATTGTTATTTTTAAACTAGGCATTTCTATTCTTGGTGTTTGCCCTTTAATAGCCACATCCTATATGAAAATGGCTAGAATAGATGGTGTATAGTCTATTAATTCAACTTAATGTTCCCTCTTTGAGTAACTGGTATGTTATGAAAGAATGCTGCTGATTCTTTCTTTTTTCACCATTTAAATATCATGTATGTAGAGTTCTTGTATATTGGCGGGGGGGCAGGGGAAGCGGGATGGGGGGGAAATGTACCAATTGTATAGTATCTTGGGCTGAAACTCTCACATTTCTCCAGCTCTTCCAAGTGCTATTTGAAGTGAGCAACTTTCTTCCATCAGCAGCTGAACAGCCATCAAGGTCTACAGTTTTTCAAAGACTTCCAGCTAATTAAAACTATCACCAAGAAATCCAGGGGGGAAAAACATTCCTTTGTTCTGAATGGTTCTTAAAATGTATAATTCTATTTGTAATTAAGATTTGCGTCAATTGTCAGAGGTCACAGTTGAAGTTTTAAGCTG